AACAGAAAGAAGGCAGGTGGCTTATTTCAGATAAGGTAATGAAGTCAGACCCCCATTTGAACAGGCTCACTGAAGCCTTGGTGTAAATAAAATTGAACTGTCTAACTTCTTCAGAATGAGATGTCACACAGATGGCTTCCTCTTTTGCCTTAAATAGTGTTAATTCCAAGATTATCAAACACCATATTTAAAAGGAATCATAAAAATAAACTCCTAAAATTAAGACACAAGCATGGCTTGACTTATCAGCTCCCTGAATTTGCTTTGCCATGCTCTCTAAAGATGCGAGCTGTGCATTAATTTTTTTCATGACCCATTTATACTTTGTTTTTTTCCCCCAAATTTCATTTTATGCTCCAAATAAAAGACTGCTGAATCTTCTGAGAAACAGAAAAAAGAGAGGGAAGAATCATCTTTGTGCAATGAGTTGATTCCAAAAATGTAGGAAAAAAGTAAAGAGACTTGATTGCAATGACTCTGTGTGTAACAGTGGATGTTATAAGGAGATAGCTCTTCATAAAGAGCTAATATCTCCTCTACATCATTTTCCCTTTCATATAGAAATGATTGTAGTTTCCCGTCACACAAGGGCTGGGCTGTCTTTCTTCCATCAAATGCTCTCCTAGCTGACAGAGACCATGGAGCTGTGAAAATAGAAATGGGAGGGGAAAGGCTGGTAAAGGAGTTACTTAATGCAACATGATCTTAGTCTACGAATGCAAGTATTAAAAGCTGATACTGTCCCACAGGGAAAAGCTAGTATCTAGAATGGGACTAACATGTTTGAATTCCTACTGTTCCAATTTTCTTGGAAGCCAAAATATCTTCAGACAGGGAAATGCTAGACTTCAAAATGCCATTATGAGTCCCCACTAGATCTTCACCAACAGACAGCTGTGTTGGTAGAGATGTCCAAGATAGATAAAAATCAGGCTTTCTGTAATTTACAGAGGCTTGTGCTTCCCTCTGCTGTCCTACAGTGAAGGCCGAAAAAGAGAAAAACAAAAAAAATTTCTTTTATTATTATAGCATAAAAATCCTAAAGACCTAAGGGAAGCTCACGTCCACATACTCCAAAGCAAATCTGTGAAGATCGGGGTTGGGGAGCAGGGACGCACACATAGGTGTTTAGAATTATAGGCTATGTATCTAGTGCCTTCAGTGCACATATAAGCTATGAAAAATTATGTAGTACAAGAGTGAGAGACTTAAGCTTGTTAGGATACCCGAGGACCACTGTCTACACTGACCAAATAGGCCATAAGCCCCTGAAAACCAAAAGTACTGCTCAGAAATTGCTTAGGAATCTGCATGAGAACTGTCCCCTTCTGCCAGAGCCAGAGATGCTATATCAAAGCACCTGCAGCAGGAGAGCTGGAAAAGATGACTTAGATACAAGAATCTGTACCTCCAACTTCCACACTCTGCCTTCCAGTGATACCCCAGAACCGTGGAGCAGCCATGACGTGTTACAGCTATAAGAACAACACAGGGCAGCAGGGCACATGGCTGGCGTTAGCGCAGAACAGAGTTGTGCACACAGACTTAAAAGCCAATTCCAGAGAATCTGGCAGTGACGAGCAGCCATGCTGCTTGCTTCAGAGGTGACAACACGACAACCAGGGGTACAAGCGCCACACACTTCGAATCTTAGACATTCTGTTAGAAACAATACAGTTAATCAGGCACAGACTGTTTAGTGATTTTAATGATCTCTCTCTTAAGATGTTTTCCATGGATGCTTATTGGTGTCATGTGATAAACGCAGACAGAATCGAATAAGTCACCCTACAACTAGTGGGCTTTACTGAGAAAACACATAGGTCTTTCCCTGCCACTGGTTAAGAGGCCCTGCCTGTCATGACTGCTCTTCAACAATGCCTCTCTGCAGAGTAACTGAGTGTGGCCCATCAAGTTGTTAAGTCAAGCTGTATGTATGTTCTCTGTGTCTGCCAGGCTTCAGACTCAAGGTTTCATGAAAAAGATTAGATGTTTTAATTTCAACAAAAGTTTTCATTTCAGTGTCTTTCTCTTAGTTCAAAATGAGAAGCAGCCAGAGTTGAAAAGTTATTTATTATCTTCTCATTCACTAATTTGCACATGTCCAGCTTTAAAACATAGTTACTTTCAGGTCCATAAAAACTGCATTGGCTTGTTCAGATTTCTGGAAGAGAAAGATGAGGTCCACAGCCCAGCTGAAATAGGGAAGTGCTGCTGCATCACGGAGGGTTCAAGGGCTGCACTAGAAACAAGGTGTGGTTGGCACTCAGCTCCTGACCCTCCAGTCAGAGAGAGACCGGCTGACCAACGGGTCTTGGAAAACAACTGAGCTTACAGGGGCCATAAACAACAACCCCGGCTTAGCTCCTCGTTCCAGAGAGGAAGGAGCTTGGCCTGGGAAGGACACCTTGCCAGTTGGTAGCAAAGATGAGATCAGAGCCCATATACACTAACATTAGTAATTCTGACTCTAAAATTAAAAAAAAAAGCCTTTGAAAACATAACAGGACTGATGATCACTAATGAGTTAAGTTTTCAAACTATCTAAAATACTACATTATGTAATAGTTCACTACGTCTTAGCTATTGAGTTCTTGGTAATAAGTGCAAACTGCATTTGCTTTCCTACTAGCCTAACTAGATTCCATTGAATGCCCATATTTGCAAAACGAGAATTTAAATCCATTAATCCCATGTTACAATCAAGGTACTTTACAGAGGCTCTTACCTGCTTCTCTTGGTTGTATGCTACTTGGAAGAGCTTGTCAGAGAATTTCTGCAAGTTCTTTGGCTGTGTCTAAACCAAGAATGACTTCAGAGTTCTCATCAAATGACTGTCAAAGTCAAATGGAGTTTCAGCCAAGAACCCCTTCAGTCAAGATGGGAACATTATGTCACTTCAGGACCTTTGAGGGCATGAGTTGGTTTCAGGTCTTGATCATGTGGTAGGTTCAGGAAGTGGCTGAGCCCTCACTGGATAGTAACTTGCAAATAGTCAACTCTTTAGACGGGGCAGTGTGCCAGAAAAGCATAGAATCAGACAGGAAACCAGCTCCAGCATTGCCTGAAGTCCTGCCCAATGCAATGATAGGCAAGGGGCACACTGAAGCCTACAGAGTTTCGGTAATATGCTATGTTCTGGTTTGGTGGCAAGTCTAAGATATGAAATGTTTTGTGATAAGGGATTAAACTGCTAGTGGGAGGTAGGTTTGCAAATCACTGGAAAATCAAAAGAGAAACACATGTTAAAAAAGTAACCCTAGTTTGAAGATGTAGGATATAGCCTATGGAGCCCTAAATTGTCAAGATGCACGCAGAGATTTCCTACGATATCAGAGTTCAAGTGGTATAACCAGGCCTGTATTGTAGAACCTATGTTAGAAATGCAGCATCTTGTACGTTAACACAAACTCAAGACTTGTCTTTTACCATTTATCTTTAAAATAATGTATAATGAAGGAACACAAGTTATGATTTGGTTCCTCTACCAAAAACAATATAAAAGCGAGATAAATGGACAAATAAAGAAAACACAAAAGAGTACCAGAATGACCTCAGGAACATTTCAATAGGGAAGCACTATCTGTTCTCCTTCACCCTTAAGTTAGAATTCACAGGCTGCAGCAGCCAGAGGGTGTAGGTGTGACTGTGAGATAACAGTTTTGATTTTCAAGAGCTAGCTATGGAAGCAGCTACACATCTTACCTTAACCTTCCATGAGAGGCTCTTTTATAGAAAAATCATGAACAAAAGAATGAGGAATTGACTGAAGCAAATTTGGCAAGAGAATCAACAGAATTCTAAAAATCTATTCTTTCCATTGTCATGGAATTCACAATACACCAGACCCAAAGTCTCAGAATCTAGCCAATGAACAACCTCCTTGATCCTGGAAAACATGTAAAAAGGGCAAACTACAATCAGCATTCAGACCTACTAAATTTGGTTCACAAATGCTACATTTGAGAGACACCTGAAAATTCAAATCATTTCCTAATCTCCAAGAATCTCAAAGGTAAGGACATTTATTCCTGATTGGGGATATATAGCAGAATATTAGTTAAAGTGTAAAATAATTATTTATAATCTTGTTTGTAAAACATTTAAATTTTAAGTAATAATTGACTTTGAGATACCTTTAGGAATACCTCCTTCTGAAATTTCACTGTTAAGGGAACTTTCTGGGGCCACAGACTGTGTGATTTCCTTCCTGTAAGAACTGGTGTGGCTCAGTTGACCAGGCACCATCCCACAAAGCAAAAGGTGGCTGGCTCAATTCCTGGTCAGGGCACATGCCTGGGTTGTGAGTTTGGTCCTTGGTTAGGGTATGTATAAGAGACAACCAATCGATGTTTCTCTCTCACATCGATGTTTCTCTCTCTCCTTTCTCCTTCCCTTTCTCCTTCCCTTCTCCTCTCTCTAAAAAATAAAAAAAATAAAAAACAAAGGAACAGAAAGTAAAGCCACATAGTAGCCAGGTATGTGTTTTCCATGCTTATCCTTTTCAACAAAGTGGGTCATTTCCAGGGCTTCCTGGGGCAGCCTACAGATACTGCCAATGAAAAAGCCTGTCCCTGGGCCAGGAGGAGTGAGCCCTTTATCTGGTGCTGACTCCCCCATGGCACAAGAGTGACCTGTGAGGGGTACTGCTGCTGCCTGTTGATGTGAGTGCTTCCCTGCACTCACAGGCACTGAGGTTTAAGGAGCATCATAGACGAGACTTTCATTCTTTCAACCCAGGAGACACTTGGCTAGAGCGTTTGTACATATGTAAGTGAAGAGTTTTCTTATTACCTTAAGTGACTAGCATTGGATGGAACACTTCTACTGTGCAGTGGTAGTAGTGGTGGGGTGAGCTGAGAAAAGAGAAGAACTTCAGCACAGAGACACATAAAAGCATCACGGAAGGCCATGCACGGTGACTAAGTGAGAAGCCAAGCACTCCGTGGGAGCCCTTAGACTCGTAAAGGCACAAAGGCGCGACTCCCCTCGTGACCAACCTGCTGTGGCCCTGCATGTCCCCCAGCTCCTTCTGCAGCCTCGCATTCTTCTCCTCTTCCTCCAACAGCCTCCTCTTCACAGTGCGCAGCTCCTGTTGGGCCTCACACTTTATGTCGTTGGCTACCACCACTGCAGTCTGCAGGTCCGCCTGGAACCGCCTCCACTCCTCAGTTTCCTCCTGAAAATGCCAGAGTCCATGTCAGCATCATGGACTGGGCAGGGGGCCAGTCCTGACACCTGCCCAGCTGTCAGGACTGGCCCCCTGCCAGGGGTTACAAAGACCCCATGCCCAACACTGAGCGAGGCTGGCTGGGCTGTCCTCAGTGAGGCACTACTTTGATGGTACCCCACTACTGAGAAAAGGTACAGGTGGGAAGCACACTTCGGGTTATCAGAGTTCTCCATCCTAAACCTGAAAGGCTGCTTTAATTTTACTTCCTGCCAACACTAATTTGGACCCATGCCATGGAAATGTACTATGAGAAAAACAGGCTAGAGAGAGTATTCAGGGTATTTTTCAAAGGTTTTCAAACTAAAAGAGGAATATTTCTAGTAAAATGTTGGAGAAGGTCCTCATCCCCTGCTGTAACTACATCTCACCTTTATCTGCTTAGTCAGAGTCTTCAGCTGCCTTTCCAGGTCTGCTTTCTGTTCCTCCAGCTTCATCACATTGCCTAGAAATAAAGAAGTCAGACAGAGCTAAAAGAGTTGGGAGACTCTTGGGAGAAGATAAGCTAGGTGGGAAAGGAGCAGCTCTGGATTTGGCCCCAGACTTTAAAATCCATCTATTCTAGTATAAATTCCATTCTTGGCACCCTGCAAACTGGGGGCCAGAAGCAGGAGGTTCTTCTAAAATAGAAAATGGGAATAGAAAACAAGTGGTGTTTCAGTCTGGTTATACCCTCAGATGACAGGCTGTACAACCACACAGCACTATGGGAAGAGACCTAAATAGCTACTCACACTTATTACGCTTACTCTGGGCCTCCCTGATGTTTGTACCCATCATCCTGAATGTCCTTTATTGCTGTGAGGCTTCTGTGTAAGAAAGAATATGACTAGTTATTACTACAGTGACTTTTAGACTCATTTCTAGAGTTGTAGTTCTTAATAGCATTTTAACCTCAGAATCACATGAGAAGCTTTTCAAAAGCACAGATGTTCAAGCCCCAGACTCTGGCCCTCAGAATGGGAATCTCCAAGGGCAGATGGAATAGAGGTGTATATACTTTGCAGCTCCCTAATTAAGAACATTTAGTTCCTTTCTCTCTGTGCCTCTAATTTTCACCATGTTGCTATCAGAGTCATTTCAAGATAAATCTGATCATGTCCCCAACCTAGTTAAAATTCTTCAGTGTTTCTTCATGATCTACTTCAGAGCAGTTGTTATCTGCATGAATCAGAATGATCAGAGAAGTTTCAGGAAAAAAATCCACAGGGTCAGGTCCTATACCAGCAGCTCTAATTCAGCATGTGGGCCCTGAGAATTTGTTTGGGGTCAATGCTGCAGAATGAGAAAATGCTCTTTAACTTTTTAAATTTTATTTTTCTGTCCCTTTCTTTCAAGGATTTTATGGGGTGAAGTAATTATCCTTGGCTGGATTCGTGTGTCCTTGGGCCTCCTAGTTAAGAGACATCTTAATAATACCTTCCTATCCCTGACAGAAGTTAAATGTTTCTTACTAGATGCACGGTCTGTGTTATTTTCAATCCTGCATATGCTATGATACAAATGCAGGGAGTCGGCCTGACATCTGTTCTGGACATTAATTATAAGCTTCTTTCTTGGTGTGTCTGTGCTGACTTTTAAGGATTAGGAGACAAAACAACCAAATTCTCAATAGCAATATATCATTAAAAGAAAAAGAAAGCAAAACTGGACTTCTCCTCTTTGACTTTATACTTTCCAAGTGCGGTGCTATGTTTGTAAACACACACTGACCACTGGCAATGGCAGAGGGGCGCCTTGCTGTGGTCACATTTTTGTCAAACAAAATGTTATTTGTGTTTTATGCAGTAGGTTTGTTTGCCAGGGTCCTTGTAAAAAAAAAAAAAGACTCTCCTGAGGCAGGAGAGTAAGAAGTAGGAAAATCCCTGGGCAAGTGGAATGGTGAAACTGAGACAAGATAATTAAACCAGGCCAATTGTTCAATTTGAACAATTTACAGCCAGATGGTGAATTGCAAGACCTTACCTCCTCTAACTAAGGACACTTGAGAATGAGTGATTTATACCGCTACTTCTAGACCAGAGAATACACAGCTTAAATCTCCCTGGTCGGGGGCATAGAGAACAGAGACCCAGTTAGTGTTACTGGTGCCAGCCAAGGACAGATGAAGTCAGGGAACAAATAACAAAACCCAGTTAGAGCCAGGGAGACCTAAGATAAATGTAAAGCAGTAAAGCTGACCAGAGAATAATCCCAACTCCCCTATACACTAATTTTGATGCATCAGCATATTAAAAAACGCACCTGGAAAGCTGATGAATATTTTGCTGAAGCCCTCCCTTAAGATTCTCACCCACAGAAGATAAAAACCCTCAATACAAAGTCCCAATGCAGGCTCACGCTAGAGCATGCCCATGACCCTTCTTGTGCATGAACCTGTTACTTCCCCCTAAGCTCTACAGTTCTCCAGGAGACTTGCAACCAGAAAAGCAGCAGGCAGAGGCAGCTTGACCCAGGCTAACCACCTTATCCTGTCTCCAAGGCCTGTTTTTCAACTTCCCAGTGAGCTAACAGCAGCCCCACCTTGGCTCACGTCTTTCCTATTATAGCTCTAGGGAGCCAAAGCAGAGCACTGCCCAGGCTCTCTCCTGTTGTTTCTTCCACCCAAAGTCTTTCCTTTGTTTCACTGCCCCCAGCTTTAGTCAACGTACTCTCAAAATCACCTGGGCTCATGATGTGAAACCTCTTCTGTACAAAGTCAAGAACCTACCACTACAGGCCAGCCTGAGGCGGACCTGCTTGGCCTGGTCCCTTCCCATCAGTGCTAGAAACCTGGTGCCCATATAACACTTTTCCTGCATAATGGTCAACAGGAATTTAAATTTTTTTTCCAGCCCTGGTTGGGTGGCTCAACTGATTGGAACATCATCTGGTTCACCAAAAGGCTATGGGTTCATTCCTGGTCAGAGCATGTAGGAGAGGCAACTGATTGATGTTTCTCTCTCACATACCAATCTCTCTCTCTCTTAAAAAAAAAAATCAGCCCTGACTGATGTGGCTCAGTGGATTGAGTATTGGATTGCAAAGCAAAAGGTCACTGGTTCAATTCCCAGTCAGGGCACATGCCTGGGCTGCTGGTCAGGTCCCTAGGAAGGGGTGTGTGAGAGACAATCACACATTCATGTTTTTCTCCCTCTTTTTCTCTCTCCCTTCCCCTCTATCTAAAAACAAAATCTTTATCCTCAGGTGGAGATTTAAAAAAAATTTTCCCATAGCTTCCTGATCTACACACCTGCCTTACGTGCAAGTTTTTAACTTTCCTCATGAGCTGTGTGGCCTCTGCCAGCACTAGCTGAGAGAAGTTTAACACCTTCCTGACCCTGAGACATGTGAGTATAAATTTGTCTGGTTTCTGGCTTCACAACAACACTGTCCATATGTTTTTGGTTTTTAATAGGCTGTCATCGTACGAAGCCACAAATTAAGTCACTTTCCCACAGCTTCATCGTACAGCACAGGTTTCACTGTGAGGCTCTTAGGAGCAGTCTCAGATGCAGACTGGTGAATGTCCACTTCCTTTACCCAGTGGTTTTAGTTAACAGTTAATGGTTCAATAACCACTGTTGATTTATTAACACTGAACTCACAGCTGATAGCACTGTAACCCATGCTCGAACAAGGCTGACCTAACTCACCTCCTTTCTCCACAAAGCACATTGCAGTCTTTCTGTGCATGGGGTCCATTTTAAACAGTGAAATCACCCACACAGAGCATAAAAATGCAAAACACATGGCACTAAATAAGCCATAAAAAAGACACCTGTTTACAGTGGGCAAGCTGAAACCAGGCAGTGAATGTCACGGAGTTCCGCCTGTACTGGGAATGCACTTTGGGAGGCTCACACTTCCCACAGCTCTGCACAGGTCTGTGAGTGACCTTCAGAGGGTCAAGAGAACTGATTCTGAAGCTACAAATAAATATTGGCAAGAAGGCAAGTTCACAAATATGGATTCCATGAATAGACAGTTTGAACAAGGCACATTGGGGAACTTTGCAGGCTACCAACTCTGCTATTTTTAGCAATGGTTAGTGTCACTAAAAGCTTTGTGTGTTAATTCTTTTGTTACAAAAGCAAAACACATTAGATGAGATCATTTGATAAGACTTATTTGGACAAAGCAGGCAATGTATAACTGATCTCTTTTAAAAATGTCTTTCCCTATTCAAAGCAAACAACAATTTTGTAAATGAGCCATATATTAGTACCCCTTCAGTAACAAAGAGGCCACCTTTTCCGTTATTTGATATCCTACCATCAATGGGACAGATGCTGAAATTGCTTTCTCCCTGACAAAAGAGCATACATTGTTTGAATCAGTTTATCTGTCACAAGTCTTTTTATCCATCAGACCCAAAATAAGGACACCCTGTCATACCTGACGAGTGGGGTCCACTGTGTGGTTCATGCACGGTGTACCTAACACTCTGAAATGGGTTTGCTCTATTTACAATCACCTCACACTGTTGACTCACGTTCAACAACCTTTTCTTCTACATTACCCATTTTCCAGCTTTGTCTAGGTGATTAATTATTCTGTCTTCCTTAACTGCCATTCTTCCCAGGACATTACAGAAGATTCAAAGAAAGACTTTTCATAAACATGCTTATATTGCCCACAGCTACTGGTTCTTTCCTATCCTAGTCACGCCTGATCCGCATTTCACCAGGGCTCAATTTCACTTACTTTCCAGCTCACTGATGAGTTGATTATTATGTAACTTGACAGCTCGATGCTGTTCCACCTGATCTTCCAACTCAAATATGGTTTCCTTCATGTCTTTAATCTCTGCATCACTCTCAGATGCTTTCTCTTGCAGTTTCAGGCTGGTTCTGCTCAGCTGTTCTGCTTGATGATCACATATCTCCTTCAAGTAAGAATAATCCTTTTCTACCTAGAATAAAAAGCAGGTTCCCTCGTCAGTTTAACAGGAAAAAGTACCTCACACATTAGCATCAGGCTCATCAGCCCAACAGAAGGGAAGCCCTTGGCACAATCCATGCCGTCATCATTGCTGTAGTCTTAGCCTTGGACATAGGCAAGTCTATAAATACTCACAGAAATTTGGTATGTATAAAAGGACAAACGGGTGGATTCTGTGCCCCTTTCTACCGGCACAAAGAAAGCCGCACATATGTAAATATCCTTCTTCAGGCACTTGGGTAAAACTGCACTCACATTGGGAGGCTCAGGTGCCCTGTGTGGCTGCCAAACCTCACGTCTGCTACGGAGCAGCGCCATCTGCTGGTAATCCAGGAACAACACCCCTCGGACCTGACATCCCCTAGAAACCCCAAATATCTTTAACCATAAAGCACTTGTGGCTACAGTGGGTTGTTTTTTTTTTAGAGGTATATAACATTAACGTCATAGGGAACACCTGTTGAAGGTACACAACACAAAAATGTGTATGCACCATACAAAGAGACACAGCACAGCACACTCACTCATCTGACCCTTCAACTTTTAATCATTAAACACTTAAAATATACAGAAAAGCACCAAAAGTGATGAGATAACCACATACCCACACACACTTAACTGGTTAAATTTTGCCACATTTCGTAATTTTTTTTTTACTTTAACAAGATTTGTGAAGACCTCAACTTCCCTCCCACCCTAGAGAGTAACATGTATTTCCCTAAAATTGGTATGTGGTCATCCCTTGAATGGTTTTTATACATAAAATTTTTATACAAATGATGTTACACTATATTATGTTTTTGCAGTGTACTGTATTATATTGCATTATATTATATGGTAATGTGTTTTTGTCCTATATTACACCATGCTTATTACACCTTAACTTCTTTTTGAGATGTATTCATATTAACATACATTGCTCTAGGTCTTCACTTTAAATGCTGCATAGCATTCTATTGTCTGAATATACTAATTATTATGAACTGTCCCTTTTCTATAGTCTTTTAATTACTGTAACTATATAGTTTTATATTTATCAGGTAATGTAAGCTCGATACCTAGTAGATTTCCTAAATTTGGAGGGGTTTCCATATACAATATGTTTTTTCCAATTGTATTTCACATGCAAAACCTTTCTAGGCTGAACACTCTATGGGGACAGGGACCCTGTATTCTCTCCTCACACTTATATCCCCAGCAACTACAGTGTCAGACACATAAGAGGCCCTAATGAATGTCTGATGAATGAACAGACAGTGGAAGGCAGTACTGCACTGTCTTTCAATTGGGAGGTTGTGATACACAATACAGAAGGAAGAAGGGGAAGGAGGGAGGGAATAAGGAGAGAGTGCCAGCATGGGGAAGATCGAGAATACTGCTTACACTTAGGGCAAGCACTGCTCCCTGAAACTTGTGTTTCAGTTATGAAGATGTATGGCTCTGTACTGCAACATAAACTATGTCATTGTGGACTGCTGTCCTAAGTTTCAAAGCTAGTGTGCTACATGAAAATGAGTAAGGGTGGAGCCTGGAGCCTGGTTGCTAGAATTTAAATCCCAGTACTACCTGAGAGAGCTGAGGGACAGTGCCAGGGTCCCTGTGCCAGGTCCCTCTCCCATGTTGCCCACAGACGCCACCTCTCCTGGGCTGAGCACTCCCCCTCCCTGCAGCATAAGCCTACAGGAATGCACTAACTAGCTCCACCCTCCATCTCCCTGTCCTCTGAGCTTACACCCTGGGGAAGAGTGAGTTGCCCAGCCTGTGGTGTGGACTTTCTTGGAGGGGCTCTTGAGGGCAAACTCTGCGGGTATCACAGACTAAGTTGTGTAGCTCTGGGGTGGGGGCCACTCCCCTCCCCCACCTCTGGCCCTGACCAGTGGCACCGCCCACACCCCCACGGAAGATCCACTAGCCCCACCCTCCCATCTCCAAGTGGCCCCTCCTTGCCATGCACTACGCAGAAGTGAGCTGGCTGTGGCCAGCATGCAGGCCAGCATGCTGGCCCTTGTTGTGGCCTCTCCTGGGATGCTCTCCAGGAGGGACAGACCCGAGCTGTGCGGCTCCAGGGCAGGGGCCACTCTTCCCTCACATGCCTGACCAGCACTGCTGGTCCTGTGCAAAGAGAGCCCTCCCTTCACACGGCCCAATCTTGGTCTGTTTGGGCCTGATGAACCCTGATGCCCCCACCCTGCCCACTTCCCAAGACCCTGCCTACCATAAAAGTCCACAGGCACCTGTGGTGCAGGCTGACCTTGCTGTGCATGGAGAGTTTCGCTGAGTGGCCCCAGTGCCAGCACTGGTGCCGAGTGTGAATCTGTTTTAGTCCGGTGAACACCGCTTACCCCTACCTGGTGACTCACCGAGAACCTATCTCATGCAACCCACATACTGCCAGAGGCCCTTTCAGTGACTGAGCCTAACAGGCAGCCAGCTGGCAGATGCTGGGGAGTCCTGGACCTTTTGCTGACCTGCTCCTGGGGATTGGTGCTGGTGAAAGCCAACCTTGGTGTGAATTTCCCCTCCCACGCAGACCCAGGCCCAGCAGAGGCAGCCGCAAACTGTGGATTGCTTTGTGGCTCCGAACAGGTAGCCCAGGGCCGGTCACAGGCAGCGCCTAACATGTCCTGCACTGGATCTCTCCAAAGAGACCCCAGAGTCAACACACCTGCTGGCAGGATTCAGACCACATCAGAGCAGGACCCAATTTGCTCCACAAGTGGCACATCCAAAGGCGGATCTCAGCAGGCACAGACCCTGCTGGGGTGAATTCTACTTCACAGGGTCAGCACAGCACGGCAGCTTGTGGTTCTCTGTGGTTGGGTCAATCCTCACAGTCAGCCAGCCTGGGGTCAATCCCACCCACAGATGAGCCAACAGCAATCAAGACTCAACTACCACAGGGAGGGTTCACAGAACCCACACAAGGGACACTCCTGAAGCACCTGGCTTAGATGATCAGGTGCCACTGAGCTCCACTGGACACCTACTACGTATGACCTCATGCTAAGACTGGGAGGCATAGCAGTTCTACCTAACGCAGAAACAATTAGAGGCAGCCAGAATGGGGAGACAAAGAAACAGGCCCCAAATGAAAGAACAAAAGGAATCCCCAGAAAAAGAACTGAATGAAATGGAGACAAGCAATCTACGAGATACGGAGTTCAAAATAACGGTTATAAGAATGTTCAAGGAACATAGAGGAAGGATAGATGAGCTCAGCAAGAATGTAAAGAAATAGTAAACATAAGAAACCCCATAAAACCATAAAAATAACTAGGCAGAAGTAAAGAGTACAATATCTGAAATAATAATACACTAGAAGGAATCAACAGCAGGTTAGATGGAGCGGAGGACTGAATCAGCAGTTTGGAAGACAAGGTAGTGGAAAACACCCAATCAAAATAGGAAAAAGAAAAACATTTTAAATGAGGATAGTTCAAGAGACCTCCTCTTATATGACATCTGTATCATAGGGGTAACCACAAGGAGAAAAGAGAGCAAGAAATTCAAAACTTATTTGAAGAAATGCCTGAAAATTTCCCTAACCTGGTGAAGAAAAAAGTCACACAAATATGGGAACTGCAGACAATCCCAAACGACATGAACCCAAAGAGGCCAACACCAAGACACATCATAATTACAATGGCAAAGGTTAAAAAGAGAGATTCTTTTTTAAAAAACCCTCACCTGAGGATATTTTTTCATTGCCTTTACAGAGAGAGGAAGGGAAAGAGAAAAATGTGGATGTGAGAGAGAAACACTGATCGGCTGACTCCCAAATGTGCCCAGACTGGGAATCATATGAACCCAGCCCAGGTATCAAACCCACAAGCCATGCATATGGGAATGAACCTGTAACTTTTTGGTTACAGGACAATGCTCCCAACAACTGAGACACACCAGACAGGGTGGGGGGAAAAGAGATTCTTAAAAGCAGCAAGAGAAAGGCAGTTACATATGTGGGAGCTCCCACAAGACTATGAACAGAATTCTCAACAGAAACTTTTCAGGGCAGAAGGCAATGGCATGAAATATTCAAAGTGACGAAAAGCAAGGACCTATGATAAGTCTCCTTTACCCAACATTTAAAGTTGAAGGAGGGAAGACAGAATAGGTAAATGTGGCTCGTCTTGCATAACCACAGAAAAATTACAGAACAAATATCACTCAAAACCATCAGAAAATTGAGCTGTATGGAAGTCTGACAACTAAAGAATTAAAGAAACCACAGTTATCCAGATGGGTAGGAGGGGCAGAGGGGTGGAGGCACAGATGGGCTGTTCCTAAACCCAGGTGTGGTGGATATAAAATGGAGGGATATCCTGGGAGCAAGGGATGCCAGCCCTACACCAGACTACCCAGTCCAAGGTTCCAATGCCAGGAAGATAAGTCCCTACAACTTCTGGCTGTAAAAAGCAGCTGGGTCAGCAGAAGAAACTCCAGGATTCTCACTCCTCTTAAAGGGACTCAAAAGTGCACATGGACTTACTCAGAATCACTCCTTCTGAGCTCCAGCACCTGGGTAGCACCTTGAAGAGCACCAGTGTCATACTGGGAGGAAATGAAGTGTCTAGCATCAGGGCAAGAACTGGAGGACAGCTTTTTCCTAGACAGAACTGCAGAGAGTGGCCACTGTACCTTTCCTGAGTCCTACCCCACACAGAGCCACAGTGTGTTGGCACCATATTTGAACTGTCATCAACCTGGTTCATGCAGTAAGCTCTTCCCTGACAATTAGCTAAGGGTCCACTCCATCCAACTTATAGGCCCACTCAAGCTGGTAACAGAGGCTTTTCCATATGAAGGACTGGGCTAGGTATAGGCTTCAGACCTTCCAAACTCTGCTCAAACAAGCAACAGCTGAGCCCAGCCGTCCATACCCATAGCTAAGTGGCCCCAGGCCTGGCACTAGCAGCAGCCATCTACAAATTGCTTCATAGCTTATGCAAAGGGAACCCAGACAGACCATAG